GCATAAGCTTTATGCAGGGTAAAACGGATTTATCTGTGTTTAGACCCCATTGGGAGTTGGGCATCTAAGTGCTAAAGACAAGCACACTACTGTGAGCTGTTTTCAGGTAAACTTGCAGCTTTGGGACAAGTGATTCAGACCCTGGGTCTGTGTTGGAGCCAGACGGGAGTGGCTGGCTCAGCAAGACAGGGTGCTGGAGTCCTGAGCTGGCAGGGAAAACAGAAGCAGGGGTAGTCTTTTGCACATCTGGTGGCAGCTCCCAAGGGGGTTTCTGTGATCCAACCAGTCACAGTCTGGTGTTATTGTTAAATGTTTTCACTTTGCATCTCTTCTTCTGAACCTTTTACTTAGTGGATTTTAAAGTTGCACTCAAGATTATTCTTCTAGGTCTCCTTCCTTCCTTCCTTCCTTCCTTCCTTCCTTCCTTCCTTCCTTCCTTCCTTCGGGACTGTCTATAAATTATATAATGCATTAGGTAGGTGAGTCCTTATTTGTACATGTTTTCCCAGTGTTACAAGGGAGTGGGTGGGTCTTGAAAATCACCCAAAAATGTCATGTAATTTATGGACAGCTCCCTCCTTCCTTCCAGTGATTTCTCCATCTCTTTTGATAAGGCATCAGATTTTTCGGGTTCTCTCATCCAGCGCAACATGGCTCGTTTGGATTTCATTGTAGCAATGTTGTGTGCTTTACCTCTGAGTTACAGCAATATTTTAATGGATTTTATCTCTATTTAGGTCTTTTTTTTTTTTTTGTAGCACATCCATGTGCACTCTTGTTACTTCATTCTACCTAAATCTCTACCTGTTTTCCTTGCTACTTAGCTTGGATATTGGCAGCACCAGTATATCTAGTTTTGATTTCATTGGAGTGATGATGACACAAAACTGGAGTAACAGAGTGGTGCATCAGCCCTTAAGAACTGACAGTCTTTCAGTCTCTTAAAATATTCTCGGCCTCCACCCCAGAAATTAGAAATCAAACTAAATTGTCAATTGTTTTTGCATATGTTCCATTTTAAAACCATCCAGTGCTCTTTTTAATATCCAAGTAGCGTTTACTATTTTGCTAGCTCCTTAACTACCAAAAAAATCTGAAAAAATAAACATATCTCTAAGCAGACCTATAGAACAAAAGGCAACTTATAAAAACTTACAAAATTGACAAGTGGTACAGTATGTGTGAATTTATTCTGAATTTTAGTTCTGCAGAACAAAACCCTCAACAAGCAATGTGAAATTGTGGACAATATCACCCAACTGCAGAAAACACTGGAAATCTGCCACCAGCAAAGAGATGATCTCCAAGCAAAGAACACAAACCTCACAAATATTGTGAACATGAAAGGTAGTGACTCACGTTCACTATTCTGTTATAGCCTATAAAATAACATTTGTGTTTCAGTAGACTCCTGGTCACCTTGTCATTATTAACAAAAGAGCTTTCTCAGGTTTCCTCTCTCCCTGTGCACACACTGCCCAAGGGCCTGAGCTAATTGTTGTTAACACTGAAAGCCATAAAAAAATTCTATGCAAAAATGTTTGGAATCCAGCATAGGTTAAACTCAATGATCCCTGTCACTCTAACTTCAGGGTTTTGAAACATGGGCATATCTGTTTCCAATGTATGTCACCCAATTCCTTCCTGTTCCTTTGGGAGTGACAGGATGTGACTCACAAATGACAAACTGACTCATGTCTCATTCATGTCACCTATGTCATATATGATGTTTCCTTCCTCCCTGGGTGCTCTCATTTCCTCTCTTGTTCATGGGGCCCACAAATAATTGCAATTTCTGTGACCATCGATAATAGCAATTCACTGATGAGACTGGGTCAGCATTTAAGTGGATCAGCATTAAGTCAGCACACTAATAGGATGTAGCATACACCTGTTCAAAATTTCCCCCAAACCCCTGATCAAGCTCTTCCATTCTAGGACTTTGCTTGCAGACGCACATGCCAAGGACAGTGCTAAAAGATGGCAGATGAGAGAAATCCTGGAGTCTTTACTTTAAAAAAAAAAAATTAAGTTGCAGGCTTATGCCCAGTTTTTCCTTTTCACTATTTAATGGAAAAATCTTTATGATTCCTGATAATCTGGGGATGTATCTCACTTGCGCCTGCCCATATGTTGGACCTTTGAGCAGACAGTGACTCTGCATTTCGGCTTCTTCTCTGTTACACTGGTTGCACGTATATTCTTCTCTGGGGCAAATGGTGCCTGGCCTAGTTCCATTAATGGTGCTAGCCTCCTTTCAGTAAGGAGGGCAAGGCTATGCTGGACCAGGGATGATTCTGCATGTTTGTTTTCTAATAGTCCCAAATTCATGGCCAGCATCAGCTGAACCTGAGACACACAGACTCAGCAGCAGAATTAATTACTTTTATTTTCAAATCACAGACTTGTGCCACTTGAAGACTCTATTCCAGTATAGAATGGTGGTGCACGAACATGCCAGTGCAGCTAATACGTTATGACCCCTCACATGAAACTGCATCACACAGAAATGTGATGGATCTATAATGTCTCTTTTTCAAGGAGATAAATGCAGACCTTGCCCAGAGAGCTGGATACAGCATGGAGAGAAGTGTTACCATTTTTCGAAGGAAATGAAAACATGGCACAAGAGTAAAGAATACTGCTCTTCTTGGGGATCCTTACTGCTTAAAATAGAGAACAAGGAAGAGCTGGTAGGGAATTTACCCTGTTGTTTTGTTTCCTGTATATTCTAAACTATACCTGCCATATATCCCTGTGATGGGGAAGTAGAATATGGTTATAAAATGAATGGTCCATGTTGTCAGGATAATGTGACCCACTAAACTGCCCTGTTTTGTTTTCCATGCTAAATTTCCTAAGAAAGCTTGACCAGACTATGGGCACCAGAGAAGGGAATGAATAAAAATTCTAAAACTACCTGAAGGGCTTAAAGGAAGTGTGACGACACCAGGTCTAAGATTTAATGCTCAGTACAGCTACTGAGGGGTGGATGGGGGTGTGGCGAGAGACCAAAATGTATTTCTAGTATCTCACTAACAAGGCCCAAGATTTCTCTTGGGCTAGTGCTCTCTGCTCACTGAGAAGAAAGTGTTTCTTCTCCTTCCACAGTAATTCCCCTAGATAATTAATGACGTTGTAGTAGCAGTTTCCCTAGAGAGTCCCCATCAGTTTTCCCCAGCCAGAGGGAAAGTAGGCAGGATGAGGGGGAGGAAGGAATTACATTTCAGAAATATTTTCTATAAAATGTACTCAAAGGTCTTCTGGGGAAAAAGGAGAATGTATTTGGCCAACATCCGGGGACCTCAGCATACTGGCTGTGACCATGACTCATTAGCTTCCCTCCCATCCCTTATATCCACACACTCATACCGGGGTTTGAGCTGATTGGCTTTTGTTTCCACACAGGATTTCATAAAGTCTCAGGCCTCATTTCACTGGATTGGATTATCCCGTACGGCAATTGGTCATGGCTGGGTGTGGCAGGATGGCACAGCCCACTCCACTGACCTGTAAGTCTCAGGCACACCTAGAAATGGTTCAGTTTTTTTTATATCCTAGTGTATTTCTTACCAAATTTTTACTATGTCAATGGGAAGGGGAATAAAGATTATTCGATACCCTAAAGTAGGTCCCACAGCCCTGACACACCTGGGCTGATGTTTCCTCTAGAAAGAGGCATTGAGTCAGACAGTGGCATGGCTTTTGTGGGGAAAGGGCTGGTTTAATCCCTCCAAGGGGTTTCAGAGACCAAGCCATCAGGTTCAGCTGAGTCTAGGTAGGCTCAGAAAGATCATATATATGGGCTGAGCTCCTTCTTGGAAGTAGAGAGTGGGGTTTGCTGATTGGAAGCAGGACGTGGGTCTCTGGACACATTTGACTTGTCCTACATATGTTTTGTTTTGGTTACAGAGCTGAGTTTTTCTTGTTGAGAGGATTTTTTTGTTTTGTTATGTTATGGATAAAAATATGAAGATTCAGACTGAGCTATCTGGATCCATGATTTCAAAGCACAGACTTTTTGAAGGACAAACAGAGTTATCACTGATTGAATTTCCATCAGAGTTGTTTCTAGAGTTTCTAGAAGTGCTGTTAATGAATGTTCCAAACTGAGCAGGATTTAAAGGGTCAAAGTAATAAAGTCAGATGACACATACACAAATACATTACAAGAATATTATTCTGCTTGTCCTGGGTCCTGAATCATACCAAAGCTATTTCTTTCTTTGTCTATATCTGGCATCTACCCTCAAGATTTAGGCACATCAATTTTATGTTTGTTTGTGATTTCACCAAGTCTGGTATGTCTGACAGTAAAATGTTTCTTTTAAAAGTTTTCCAGTAAAGATACAAGAGCCTGGAGAAAAATGTGCACTTTTCAAAGCTGGGGAAGCCTTCTCCCATAACTGTACAGGCCAATATCGCTATATTTGTGAAAAGAGGGCTACTCAGAAAAAGGCTACTGAACGGGCACAAGGAAGATTACAGTATCCATGGCAATCATAACTGACGACATTCCAAAGGGAAAGATAATTCACCCCTTGAGTTTGCAGAGTTGTCATTTTCAGTGAGGAGCAGCAACTTCTGATGATAAACCATGTCCCTTTCAGAAATTTCCACAGCCAACCAAAACACTCCTACCATGCACGCTGATTTATCAAACATGGCTGGGAATGGCAGAGTTTATTTTAAAGATCAATTAGTTCACCATGAAGATAAGAAACTGGGTTTATTTTTATTTTATTGCATCCCATACTCCCTATGTCATAAAGTTCTGCATTTGTAATTCCATGTTTTGTTTTGTTTTTTGCCTCATGATAAATGGTTGTTTTATCTTTTAACACTGAGTTTGCAAGATCAACAACCAACCAGGGAAGAAAGTAGGTGGGATAATCTTGATTTTAACCAAGTGTAAGCTGCACTTAGACTTCCTCTTACATTCACAAAAATCACAGTGGTTTAACTAAAATTGGTTTATAATCACTTTAATTAAGCTTGGAGCACGATTCACAAGGGGACCTAAAGAGGGCAGTTAAGCACCTAAGTCCAACATTTACGCAACACCAGCATTCACTTCCCCCCCATCCCCAATGCCTAGCTGCTGCCTAATACCGTAGGTGCCAAAAGGCCTCGGCACCTAAGCTTCCACCAGTAAGGCCTCCAAGGCACCTACATTTCTGCAAGGGGGCATGTGCAAAGCCTAATCATTGGGCTATTGGGTATTCTGTTTTCTCTCAATCTCTCCTTTTGGACTTGTTCCACTTTCTATTAAACATTTATTGGCCAAGAAAGAGAATGACTTCATAGCCCAGTGGTTAGGGCACTCACATGGGAGACTCAGGTTCAGATCCTTGTTCTA